CGCTAGAGCGCTGCAACAGGCAGCAAAAACGCATATTGCAACGACCCTGTCAGTGTATGTGTGTGTGTCCGGGTATTTCAACTTGCCAACCACGCAGGCTTTGAAGCTGAAATTTTGCCAGTATGTTCCCCAGCCAAGTGCCACCCCAGTGCCGCGGTATCAACTCTCATGCACGTCTGTGCCCCGCGTACGAGCAAGTGAAAGTTTTGGCGAAAAAATTGCTAACTCGGGAACGAGGAAAGCTAGAAAGCTGAAGCCAGGGGGGAATCCCTCCTCGTGTATGACAAAAGGATTTCAAATTCAGCTGCTCAGGATTGCCTGGGACTTACGTACGGGCACGTGAAAATCATGGCGGGAAAATTCATAACTCGGGAATGAGAAAAGCTGGAAAGTCGAAACTCTGGGGGAATGTTTCCTACTCACGCACGACCAAAAGTTTTCAAACTCAGCTCCTTAGAACCATCCGGGGCTCACGTACCAGCACGTGAAAATTTTAGCGCGTGAACCACTAATCCGAGAACGAAAAAAGCTAGAAGGCTGAAATTTTACGGGAATGTTCCCGACTCATGTACAAACAGAATCAGCTGTTTAGAGGTGTCCGAGATCCACGTACGCCACATGTGAAAGTTTTGGCGCAAAAATTACTAGTCCGGGAATGGGAAAAGCTAGGAAGCTAAAACTTTTGGGCAATGTTTCCTACTCATGTATGACCAAAAGACTTCAAGTTCAGCTCCTTAAAACCGTCCAGTACTCACGTACGGACACGTGAAAATTTTGATGAGGAAACTGCTAACTTGGGAACGGGAGAAGCTGAAGGCTTTAATTTTAAGGGAATATTCTCTACTCATATGCAACTAAAAGAATTCAAATTAAACTCTTCTAGTAGGGCCTTTTTCGCAGACCAGCAACTTTCCATTTGTTGGGTCACTGAAGTCTACATCTACAAATGACATACCACATAGCTGCACAATTAACTATCCGAACTTCGAGGGCCAGTATGTCACAGGGTTAGCTACTATGATTCCTTGCGATCTTGCTACGGCACGAAAAGTGCAAAAACGCATATCGAACGTGCGTCCCAACCTGGGTTGTATTTGCACAAATATGTAAAAACACATAAAAAGCAGTATTTCGACTAAGTAAGAAAAGGTGGGATTATTCAGAACGCTTGCGCAAAACCCAGCAAAAAAATAAGCTACCAATGAAGAACCACTGTCACTGAAGCATCATGCTTCACATTCAAACTCCACGCTTACGATTTTTGCAAAATGAACCCGAACCGACCGAAAAATGACATTCAAATGATGGAATTGTCAAAAGTCTTACGAAGCAAGAACTGAACTTTGAAATCGGAAGATAAGCTCCAGCAGATCGTGGACGGGTCAGCGTAATGATGAAGTCAAATTTATCCTGTGCCTACCGCTAAAGAAAAACTCATTCCAGTATCAGCTTTTTCTTCTTGAAACCGCTTTCGTCCAAAATAGCACCCTTCCCAACTTCTGTATCCCGCTTGTTCGATGATGGCAATTTGCAGCATATTTGAAACAAATTTAGCGTATTGGAAACCGTTTATTAGCCTTTTAAATCGCTTTTTAATGACTTGAATTGATACTTTAATTTCGCGCCTTTTATATCCTTTTAGAATTTTCTACTTCCTTGGCAAATTTTCCACTCTTCTCAGACTGACGCTTGTAATGAATCTAGCAAGATTTTGCTTTCTGCAAGCTAAATTACGAATTGTTCGGTTCATTTTCTACCCATACATGTGCGATTTTGCTAGCCCAAAGATGGCAAGAAAAGGAGCAAGAGGAGCAAAAGGCGCCTTCATCATGCTTTAATTCCTCGTTTTAACTCGATTTGCATTTTTTGCATCCATTTCTTCGGCATTAGCAAGTCGAAAACAATTGTCAAAAATGACACTTAGGATAAATGTACTTACTGAAGGAGATTTGATTTACCCACGATGGACAACAAGTCGGAATTTTTGCTCGGTGGCATCAGCTGAAAAACACAACTCATCAGAAAAAATATGGAGAAAAGCTGAACTTGAAATCAGCGCGGCTCAGGTAAGTCTCGTAGTAACGTTACGAGAAGCTCATAACTTACCCTAACTTCTACAAAGCAGCATTTCTGAGGCGAATATAAATCAATCTGGCACGGGATCCTACAGTGTATAAGATTTCCCAGAAGTGGAAGACGCAGCACAACACTGGGAGATGGAACCGGCCACTGATCAATATGATGGCACGCTGAAATACACGGGAAGCTTTAAAAAAATTGCTTTTTCAACTTCAGATGAGCGGGTGGCAAAAGCCGGGGCAAAAGTGAGGCCTGGCTGAAAATAAGGCATACCTGCTTCAATTGCTGGTTCGCCCAGATCAAAGAATCCCTCGGCAATCACACCGACAACAAGCGAGAATAGATCGAGAAGCGGTAATACAGTAAGCAACACAAGACTCTACAACCACAGCACTTCAAAATTACAAAGATTCTGAGCAATTAGAAATTCTGGAAAAAAAAAGAGAAGGAAAACTGGAAAGGACCTTCTGAAAGTATCCACGCGGCAAAGATGAATCTTTCGTTTGCCTGAAATCAGCATATAAATTACCCAACACATCCACTGCAAGGGATACCGTGTTATTTCATGCAGCGTGAAAATTTCACAGTGCTCGTAAAAGCACTTCGTTCAAATGCTCCAAATTACCATACGATTTTTAAAAATGAACGAAATTTCTTATCAAAACACTGAGAGTAAAGTAGCAATGACGAACCTGAAATGAACAAAACCGTAAAAATAGAGAGCGTCCGCATCGACTGCCGCAGGCACGTGCTCCGAATAAGCATTATAGGTGGATGAATTTGAGGCACACGATGTGCGACGTATCCGAAAATGAAAAATAGTGTCGCGGGCAGTGGTACTGTTGGAGTCCGGGAATGATAAATAACATATACTGGTTTTCTCGTTGGCAGTTAGTTGCGCATCCCCGGGATATACAACCTGAAAGTGACCCTCAGCACCCCTTCATGCCCCAAAAGATCGTACATTTCAGCCTGATAACACAACTGCCTTCAACACAACGGCACCCACAAAGGGCTTCCTCCAAAAGCCACAAACTTCAGCCAATACGCGATGCAGCATTATGCCGAAGCAGTTGTTGGAAAAGTCACCAGTTCTAACTGATTCGAATATTGCACCGGCCCGCTGCTACTGCTTTCGTACTCGTATCTCTCACAAAAGTGACGCAGCTTTTTTAAGTTTGGGAGCTTCCACTCCTCCCCTGTCTCTGTGGTTTGTAGTGATACCTGGACAACAAATGGTCCAGTGCTGCAAGGCATCCAGTCAATTTCCAGCCAACTTTTGATGAGTTTTTATGAAATTTTGCGAACGCTAAGTCGCGTTTAAATGCTTATATTTTTCCTCTGCACTGGATGCTGCAGCTGCAGCGCAAAATAAGGCAAGGGATATGTCGCTGCTGCTGTTGTTGCTGTAAATGAAACGGGACACCCAATGTGCTAAAAAGGCGCGCAGGCCCAAAATGAAAAAGTACCTCGATGGACTGTCCCACTTCAAGATCGAAAGTTACAACGCATATGCAGTAGATCCACCGCCCGAAATTCTCCCACGGCGGCGTGTCCAGCGCGTCACCGCTCCCTGCACCGCTCATTTCATTTCATCGCCGACACACGGATCACAGTACTTCGGCCTCCTGAAAATGAGTGCTCAGTCTCTTTCTCCCGCCGCCCGAACCAGCCAAAAAGCCGTAATATTCACAACAAATGATGAAACTGGACAGAGCAGTGCTGCTGGCCGCAAGCCCACCTGAACCGCTATAATAATCTACACAGACTGCAGTGGTGCAGGCGGTGACACAACCCAATTCT